CTACGCGGAACAATACCCTGCCGCGGCACGACGCAGTTTCTAACGAGTTACCGAGACGGCCTGAATAACTTTTCCAATTTAGCCACATGCGGCTACATCGTTATAAACGACAAAGTGTTACTTACCGTTACGGGCGAAACTTTAGACTGGCGCTACTTGCGCCGATGGATCGTCGTACGGCGGAGCGAATCGGTGAGTTCGCGAAATGCGAAAGAAAAGTCGATCTCTCAATTAACGATCTCGCGATCTATAGGATCTACACGTCGAAATTCCGTCATTTCCAGTATACCTCTCAAATCCGGCGTCCGTAACAACGAGCAATAACTGAACGATGCAAACTTATTAACACCTCATTTGCCCCCAGCCCAACCCTCGCGCTCAGGTGAACCGACTCCCTCGCCTTCGCTACTCGGCGAAATCTGACGGGCGAAGTCAATCAAGGTTGCGGCAATTTCCCTGGTAACAGTCTGAAATTCCAAACTGACAGACATGAACGGCTTGAAATGGTACTTGAGAGCGCTTAAAACGAGGGTAGTGCTACAGAAATCGCAGACAACAATGTTATTTAAGTATGTCGATTTATATGTAAGGTGTAATATCAACATACAGATCAGTACGACTGTCTACCCCCACTCGAATAATAATATAGAGATTATTGAAAAAGTCACTCGTTGATCTTGTCGATAATGATATTTGCAGTGCTCCTGCAATATTTGCAGTGCTTGCAGTTATAATGAATATAACTAATTTTGCACCGTAACTGTTTATGATAGCGGCCGAACCTCATTAAATTAAAAAGAAACGTTTAAAAAAGTTAAAAAACTGAGAAATAAATATCACTAATTTAAGCAGAATAAATAAGAGTAATAATTAATGAGGTAAATAATGCAACATATTTTTTTGTTTCTCATAATTTCTTAATTTCTTTCTTGCCTTGGAAAGTTCGATAGGAATTGGAGATTGGAAAAAATGGTACAGGAATATTTAGAAGCCTTATATACTGTCTCTCATCGTTTTTGGAACAGATTGCTTCTGCAAACATATGAGTCGACCGGAAACGCAGCATAAATTATTGATCGCTTAATCGATGATAACTATAAAGCGACATATTTTCGATACATACCATAATCTTGTATTTTGACGTCTCTTTAATTAAAAGTAGCGTTTGCTTTCCGAAATTTTTGCAGTAAATCAGAAAATTATTAAGCCACCTTTTTCGATAAAAAAGTGCAGAATATGAACATTCTACACTTTAATGAGGAACTTTTAATGAAGCCTGGCTCCTGTCATAAACTATTCCGGCGCAAAATCAATTGCACTCGTCATAACTGAGAGCAAATGTCATTATTAACAAGATCAAGTGACTTTTTCGGCAATTGTCATTCTCTGCATTGTCATTCAAATGTAAGTAGATAACCCATCGTACTGACCTATTAATATTACATCCTATATGTAACAAAAATTATCCTCGCGCTTCCAATGCCTACGACATCTTTCTCATTTCTAGACGAAATAGAGGATATGCTCTTAAAATTTCGCTATCATAGAATTATTTTGAATGAAGAAACAATTCATCACACACACATGCCCTGTAATTTTTCAACATCGGTTGTTAACATGAGCCGTACACGATGATCGGTTCTCGAGATCAAAATCCTTCGTCATGGAGACGATCCTTATTAGTAACACCGCTTGATAGGCCAGCGATTACTCGCTCGTTAACGGAAATTGTTAACGAGCTGGTATCCGAAGGAGATTCGGGCGCAGAAGTGCACTAAAGCTTGATTACCGATTCACGATGTCGCATAGTACCATCGTGTAGCGACATTGTACTGCGCACATATAAGAAATGAAACGGTGAAGCACCTTGAGTAAACCAACACTTCGATGTCGAGATACTTACGCTGAATTCTAATTAATTTATTATAGCTTAGAAATAATAGAAATTATTTTATATTTATATTTTGGATTTTTATGATATGCGAATTTACCTCGTTTTTTAAAAAGAGCAAAGCGGTAAAACATACAAGTAAGGATAACTAAATACTTGTTACGTTAAATGCTAACGAAACTTTAATCAAGTATATTTATTAGGTGTACAAATGAATAATCCAATTTTTTCAGCTACATTCAAGGTTTATTTTAAAAGAAAGTAAATTAAATTGTTCAATCAAAGTATTCGCCGTTGCTTTCTATAACTTTAAGCCATCTTTCAGGCAGCTAATGAATTCCATCTCGGAAAAATGTTACGTTTTTGGACACGATAAAGTCGTCAAGCCATTTTCGGATCTCATCCACTGATTGGAAGTGCATATCGGACAAGGCGTGTTGCATCGACCGGAACAAGTGATAATCGGATGGAGCAATGTCTCGTGAATACGCCGGGTGCTGCAAGACGTCCCAGCCAAGACTCATTATGGTGTCTTTTGTATTGAAAGCAATGTGTGGCCTGGCGTTGTCATGCAACAATTTCACTGGACGTTCTCCTTTGTCAGTATACGGGCGTTCGTTCTTGACTCAAGCAGATTAATTGACGTTGGTAGCAGTCCGCAGTAACTGTTTCATCCGGTTCCAACAACTCATAATAAAGGCACGCCCTTGATATCCCACCAAATGCAGAGAAGAACCTTCTTTCCGAAGCGATTGGGTTTTGCCACCGATTTTGATGATTCGCCGGGATTTACCCATGATTTGCTGCATTTCAGATTGTCATAGAGTATCCATTTCTCATCGCCCGTAACGATTTTCCACAAGAAAGACTTTCGACGCTGCTCATTGAGAAGAGAAAGACACGCTGCCACTCGTTGATTTTTGTTGCTTTCAGTGAGTTCATGCGGTTAGGCACCCATTTTCCTTCTTTCTGGATCTTTCCCATCTCATGTAGGCGTTTGGAAATCGTTTGCTGCGTTACTCCCAACTGTTCTGCAAGCTCTTTTTGTGTTTGTGCCGAATTCTCAGCGAGCAGTTGTTCCAAATCATCATTATCGCACTTTGGAGGGCCTCCAGAGCGTTGTTTGTCGATTAGACTGAAATTACCGCTTTTAAACCGCTTAAACCAAAATGCGCACACTCCGTACGATACAAAACCGTCGCCGAGAAAGGAACAAATCGATTCGCACGCTCTTGCAGCATTTTTTCCTTATTGGAATTCGTAAAGAATGCAGTGTCGGATATGTACCTTATCTGTTGCCATTTTCGACTGTACTGAACTGAATACTTTTGAAGATTATGTTGGGCCTTTCGTCAAACTATATATTCTTTTTAATAGCTATATGTCAACATTGCATAATCACAAAAGGGCGGGAAAATCTATTCAATTTAAAATTGATTTCATAACTGCTTAAAATAATTTGGATTATTCATTTGTACGCCTAATATATTGCCGTTTCGAAAATATCATTATCTTTTCTTGCTTTTCTTTCTCTTTTTGATATCCTGAAATACGTAAGAATCTTATAAGTCAAAGCATTGTAAATCTCTGCCATAAATTTCCGGTTCAGTTGTTTTGTATCATCATTCGACGTGTCCAATAATACGTCGTACAACAAGAGCGGACTGCCATGGCAGAAATCATAGTTGCTATTAATGTGCACAAACATTCGTTGCCGTCGGCGATCACTAAGTAATTTCGTACCGCGTGTATGCACCTGATTGAATTTTCTTTGAAGCGGTATAAGCCGCCATGAAGGGCCATTAAATAATTATAGGATATCCCTGGCACATATGTCTGCGCACATATGTACGCAGACACACACCTACACATACGTATATGATCGATTACCATGCGCTCGTTCTCGACCATTCTCAATTTGAAGTGCAACGAATTAAATAAGATCGGACGAGGCGAATCGCAATTACGGGAACCAAGCACCTTTCATATCACGATATTATGCGATATTATTGAAAATGAGAGAGCAGGGAGAGACAAAAGAGAGAGGAGTTTCCGCTGAATTAACAAAAACACGCAAAAGGGATACGGGAATGTAAATTCGGGTTCGAAACGCTCGTTATGCGAAACGACATCGGAACAAACAACATCGCTTCTCTTCTCTCGGCAACTGCCGCACGTGTATGGTATTTTTAAATAACGACTTAACCTCATTAAAAGTTCCGTTAAAGTAAGTTTCACAATTGATTAGATATTGATTATAAGTACTCCTCGTGGGTTCACTTACTGTCGTGGGTTTATTTACTGTCGTCTATTTTAAATAGCGATTGTAATAAGCACGCTTTGACAAAATTAAATTTTGCAAGGAATTTCCGTATCGCGTTCGAATTTTTATAGATCTTGAAAAAATATACTCCAAATGTATTCCACGATATCCTGATCAACCAGGACGTTCTCATTGACATTGAAGTTCGACGATTGACGATACCATTACTACGTTGGGAAACGTAAGGCGAAGGGTGAGCAGTCGATAATATTCTTCAAATTCACCATAGTTCGAGTTGTAGACCGTAAATGAGACCATGCGACAATCTTCCTGATTGGATTCCTGCAGTGCTCTGGTGTAGATAACGCTAGATGAATTTCCTAAAGTACAATCGGTGCAACTTCGCTGAAGCGCTATAGAACTAGCGGTTTAGTTATAAGTAATGCACGATACTCAATAAAATTTCGCTGAAAGAGTCAACTGGTGGAGCAATCTTACAAACACAAATGTGACATACAGGTCATCATTGTAATACGCTTGGTTTCAAATCGGCCTGAACGCTTTTCCTCCCCAAATCCACATCAATCCCCAAACTGATCCACCAGCTACGTCTCAAGCTGCATCAGCGAAAAAAGTATTCAAACCGTATTGAAACCAATTATGAATTTTGTAGTAGAATCTTATTTTCAATGATTAGAATCAGTAAAGCACAAGACGAAGGAATAATTTACAAATATTTCTACTCTAAAAATCAGTGAATACTCATTAACTATCAATATGATAAATTCCTTTTATTCGAATCGAAAATACATCAAGTCTAATTGAAATCAGAAACACTTTCGCTGATTCACTTCAAGGGAGAACCGTGCCGAGGAAACAGAATAAAATCATGTTCATTCTCTTTGCCATAGTTTAGTTCCAACTTCCAGAATAATAAAGTGGCAGATGATATTCCGTTTGGCCTACTCATCATCCTACCTGCGACAACAGTAATAAAACGGAGCGTACTTGTTTCTGCTGTCGTCACCATTCTATCTGCGAGAGTAGTACGGTGGCGGATCGTACTTGCTTCCGCCGTCACTCTGTCTTCGAGAGTTGTACGGTGGCGGGTCGTACTTACTTCCGTCGTCACTCTATCTTCGAGAGCAGTATGGTGCCGGGTCCTACTTGTTTCCGTTGCCGTAATTATCGATCTGCCTGCGTGAGTAGTAGGGTGGCGGATCGTACTTGTTCCCACTGCCGTATTGTCTGCGAGCGACATAAAACGGAAAATCGTGCCTATTCTCGCTGTCATGGCGATGTATTTGCTCATAAAAGTAAGCGAGCAGTGAATCGCGCTTGTTTCCAAAAAGTTGACTCATAATCTTCGCACCGGCATCTCTCAGAAAATCAATGTCTTCCTATATACAACCCTCCACCGTCAGTATAACGTACTGCACAATATTTTTTGCATAATTTGTCACCGTGAGTGTTTTTGAAATTATCCGGAGCGAGCGTTACGCACGATACGCAGGAGGCATTTGTTATAATGAAAATATGGAGGTAAGAATATAATTTTCTTACCTCTATGAACGAAAGCGTCGTAGACAAGAGAAAGGTATGTCGAGGTTATTCTGCATTGTCAATGTTCACTTGAAATAACGGGACTACACTATCTCTCTATTTTCGACGCGTTATGTGTATTGTTAATGATTTACAATTTGCCCGAATTTGTCTCTTACCGATATCATCGCAAGGACAAGAACGAGCGCGAGAAGACACATCGTGGAAAGTCGCGCGTATTCTAAGCAGGATCAAAGTGGAAGCCCGACTGATTCTTTCGTCGCGAACGCTTCATATTTTTATGAGGTCACTTCGCACGAATGATAATCCACGAGAAAACTCAATTATCGCTATCGCTCCTATAGAGAACCTCCGGAATCGCCATCGCGATCGTATGTGTTATCAACTGCAACGACACGGACACGGTGCTTCTCGCAGTTGGGCATCGACGATGACAAACGACGTCGTTGACTATCCATGCAGTCGATCCAATTTAATCGAGCCGAGCGCGGCATTTACGAGCGAATTGTAATGTCCAAGGGACGATCAACTCGCGATATTAATTAGCACCTCGCGAAGAATGACGAAGCCGTCGCAAATCGAACCACTTACGCTCTTTCTCGTTTAATCGAACTGGACGATCGTGCGCTTGACAGATCGGCCGTGTGTGTGTGTGTGTGTGTGTGCGTGACCGCGCTCATCCTCGACGACTATATCGAAAATCTCATTATTTAACACCAATTGCCACGCGAGGTCGACGCGCGAATTCGGTGAATGAAATTTCCATGGAGCACACGCGCGAGCATCGTGTCTATGTGAAAAGACCGGAATGAAAACCCGACAAATTTGGATGCTATCTAAATCTACTCCCTTTTCATATATATGTCTGCAATATTAAAGATTAATACATTAGTTGGCCGACTCAATTTCAGAAATTAAATTTGCTCAGCCAGGTGAACGCCCTATCTTTATCGAGGAGAGAATCAGCAAGCGAAATAATATTCACTAAGCAGAAGTCAAGGATATTTTTTTACATTTACTTTACATTTACTTTACTTTTTTACATTTACTTTACGTGGATTGTATGTGTCGCCAATGATACAATAGCCTTCAAATTGCTCGTGCCAAATGTATTATTGTTGATACATTTATCACAAATGCCAAAATAATGATATGTTAGAAGCCCAAATAGCGGTCGCATTTACGTCAGAAAACGGAACAAGCTTCAACCAGGTCGCGAAACAGAAACGAAAGGAAGTACATGTTGAATTTAGGACACCCCTCGTATCGTCCCTCTTGGTCGCACCTGTGCGATAGAGTCCGCGACCACCTCGACATTCGGCTAACGTTTCAGAGAGCAGCTGTGGCGGATACATCGAAAAGCTTCGCGCACCAAGCTCTATTCCGCGATAGGAAAAGCGGGATTAAAAGCTATCGCGGATAAATTCGAGGGTAAGCCGGGTTCAGGATGGGTCACGAAGCTCCCAGTTAATTCCACGACGTCGGCCGACCCGTTCGCTCCATTAGAGTCTCTCGACGTTAGTCTAAATTTTATCTCTCCTTTTTATAGCTCGCGAACGGCGGCCGCGCTCGTATAAACGCAGCGGATTATTACTCGCCGCGCTCTTAAATTGCGTGCCGAGCAAGATGGAAGGAATAAGAATTTTTAACGCGCGATGATTTATACATCCGAGTCATTTGCAGTCACCCAAGACGATTCTCGGCGGTGAACTCATGCAAAACTGCCGGCCGATTTCGTCAGGCCGAACGTTGCAGCAAGACCGTGACTCGCATCGTCGTTGCGTAATAAACGGAGCCCGTATTGCAAATCAAATCCATTAACGCTCGTCGCAAATAATCGGCATTATACCGTGTTTACCGGGCCGGCAAGCGCTCAACCGCGTCGCGTACACTGCGGACCGTTAATAATTAAATCTCCAATCCAGCACAGCTCGATTGAGCTGTTAGTTTGACAGTGGCTGATTTTAGCGGAATCCTCTTTTTTCCATTCGCCGCGTTCTCGCGATTCTGTTTCTCCGCGCCGTTATTACCGCAAATCTTTCGGCGGTAATAGCAAAATATCGCCGCGATTCGCGAGTTTCTCGCGGACTGATTAATCTTTCACGTCGAGACTCTGACCCGGCAATTGACGAATTTAGACCCGAAGCTGACGCGGAAACGACAGCGAGCTGTAATACGCTGTAATACGAAGTAATACGCGATATATACGAGGATGGAAGTGATTTCGCGCGAAATGCCAAAATATCACGATTTTCTCTCGCGGACGCGTCGACAGTTCGCGCGATACGCGTTCGACTTCCGTTGCCGCGCGCGAATGTATCACACTCGCGTCACGATTACATTCGAAATGTGAAAAGTTTCCGCCACATACAGCCACCTGTGATATCGCGATGAGTTCCCTGTATTTGTTTTACAGGCCACCTCGTTATTCGTGCTGCGATGTACAACATCGAAGTGAGCTCAAACTCCAAAACTGTATTTCATCGTATGACCTCATTTATCGCAGTAAAAACGTTCAAACTGACGCTCATGATGATATCCTCGACGTGAGTGCATTTTCTGAAAAACATATCACGATGTGTAACTTTCAGCTCATTGAAATTGCACAACGAGTCCGACTTATTCGTACCCAAACATGAAAATGACGCGGACTGATTGTAATGTTCTGCGAAAGAACGGATGGTTGATTATAATATTTCACTTTGAATATATCGAGATTTATCGAAGGCTGTATCAAACTGCGACGTTTGTGTTTACATAAAAATATTACATTATATGAAGAAGCATATGCAAAAATATTGTGCTGAGAAAGCATGCATATTAGTACGGAAATAAATACGGTCCCAATTGGTCGAATAATTTTCCTCCGACCGAGACAACGCAGAGATGAGGATTATTTTCAAACACTCGCTTCGTCATAGAGTCGTCGAGGCTATTTATTAATCTCGAGAACACTCCCTCAGGTAATGAACAATGACGAGTATACGCCAAATTAAGTTCCGTCGTGTGAAATATCTTGGTGCGCACGTGGCGATGAATTTATAAAAGGAAAAAAACGCGCCAAGTTATTCGCGACACGACCCAATGCCGGAGTCGTGTGCTCGTTGCGCTTTGACCGGACTTTTGATTGATCGTTCCATCGTGCACGCGCGAAGTACTACATCCTGCGTCTCTTATACATATGTTACATCGTGCCATGCGGTACGTCGATCGTTGACACGCAGCATGCGTCGTGTCGCATGAGAGATAACCGGCCGCCTCGATATCGCTGATTGGAAAAACCAGCGTCCGAGAGTTCGCGAGTTTTAGTTTCCATTATCCCGTGGCGCACAGGTCAGCGAATCCATAAAGTAATTTACTCTGAGAGAATTGGAGAGAGAGAGAGAGAGAGAGAGAGAGAGAGAGAGAGAGAGAGAGAACCTTGTCGCAGCGCGTCAATAAATTTCAATAGCCGAGTGTGTCGACTATACGTAGGCTGATATTAAAGCACAATGGTCCCGGCGGAGAATTCGCGCGTGCGTTTTTACGTAAGAACGCTTTTTCTCGCAACAACGATACGCGGAATTGACATGTCCGATACTCCGTGTCGCATATCAGTCGTGTAATTTGACTGAGAACGATTGTATATAATTAGCGCGTCATTATCTATCGTCGAACATTATCTATTATCCAGGGTTGAGAAGTAACTCGTTACTTGTAATAAAGTTACAGTTACAGTTATTATTTTCCTTCTTTGGTAACTATAACTTAACTTCGTTTCGCTTTTTCCATCTATAACTGTAACTTAACTTATTGTTACATTTGTTTGATAACTAGTAACTAATATAATTGTCACATTAATAGTTACTTTATATATTTCAAACTTAAGTTTCTGGCAGACTAATACGATAACGCAACGTACGATGTTTGATATCTAATAAGCATACAGTTATTCCGGCTGCATTTGGAAAACGCGCGCTATTGTCATCTATCTTTATCATTCATTAGATGTAAAACACGGATACAATAACACAATAGCGCTGAAGTCTCCTCTCCGAACACAACCTGTATTTCTTTTAAAAAAATTGTACGCCTATTGGACATTTCCGTCGCGCGTCGCTAGTTCTTATTTGTTAATATAACCTGTGTTCAGCTACATGGTTTCGATTATATAAAAAATTCAAGCAATAGATAAAACATCTCAATCTTCGGAGAAGGATTGTAGAATGCCATAGTCAGCATATGCAAAAATATTCAAGTGTAGGGATCCGGGTGATGGATATGAAGTTGCGAGTAAATTGTGTACATGTTTATTAAAGGAAATAGATATAAAAATGAAACCTTACTCTCTAGCTCGCGACTTGTGCGCGATTGTTTCTCGATTCGACTGTCTCTACTCTTTTCTTTTTCTACGCTCTCCTTCTCTACCTGCGCGACCTCTATCACCCCTACTATGGCACATCGGGTCGATTACTCGATCGATCAATCCTACACAAGTTACAGCAAAAATTTAGAAATGAGAACAACTGGGTATTTCTCTGCAAAATATGCGTTGGCAAAAAAATTATTCATTCAAGTAGAACTTCAACTGCAAATTTAAGAAAACATATGAGTATAAGTCTTTATTTATAAAATATTAATATATCTTTTTAGTGAAAAAATCTAATTTTTGATGTTAAGATTAGTTTTAGTATTTTTACTATTTATTATCCTCATCAAATTCATTCACTTTCTTATAATTGTTATTAATGGTCTCAATGAATATGAATTGTTTACTTAAATCAATGACCCTAATTTGTACAAATTATATACAATACGAAGAATATAATAATCAACAAACTACTTTTATATAAAATTGAAGGAATTTACACAATTACGAAATTTAAAATGATAACACAATTATTGTAAAAAAATAACTGAAAAGTAACGACTCGTTACTTTCTAAATAACTGTAACTGTAATATGTTATTTTTAAAGGTCAGTAACTTGTAACTAGTTACTTTTTCAGTGAAAAAACTACAACTGTAAATAAATACTTTTACAAAGTAACTTTCCCAACCTTGCTGTTATCTTTGAGTAAAATTGTTACATACTTACGTCGCACAGTTACCATTATGGTATTACGCATCATAACAGTTTACTGTAAATTTTTCGGCGAATCGATAGTGCAAGGAGAATATAAATTCCCGTTATAAAAAAGTCCGAAAGGTCCAATCGGTTCGAGCAATCGTAGGATTGTAAATCTGACTCAATTTTCATCTGTGTTTTTTATCTTTATCCGATTATTTAGAACGTACATACAGCTCCAGAGGGGAAGGGATTAACTTTTCAATAATTCTCTCTGATTCTGGCTTTTGAGGTCAACAAAAATACACAACCGAATCACACGATTATCTCGCTTTTCTTTTTCCTTTGTCTCCTTTATCCAAAAATATAGGATGGATGTGTAATA